ATATATATATATATATATTATACATATATATAATATAAATGGTTTAATGTTCTGTGGTGTATATTTCCTCATTCAGATATGAAATTAACAACTTTTCGTAGTTTCGGCCATAACTTACATGACTTCTGAGGAAAATAGAAAAAACAGGTTTTCTGTCATTTGTTACAGCTTAATGGGCTATTTATATAAAATACTGACTACACTGAAACCCTTTTCCATTTTTTCACTTGGGAAAACACAGATGTGCAAGCTTACTCCGTTGCCTGTGGGAAAAGTCATAGCTGGGATCAGTAGACTTTTCAGGCACTAAACATTCTTATGCAATCCCACATGATGGCACAGGCACCAAAATATATTTTTTAAAAAAATGTCTGAAATCTTGTAAAGTTTTGGCAATCATATGATGTCCCAGTCACGTTTTAATTTTTGGATTCCAGATGTGCCATCTAGGAGTGTTGTAACTGCCTTAGCAACAATGAACGTGCAGCATTGGTGACCTCTCTGATAGGCACTTACATGAAGCAGAAGAAAGTGGTCTTTGTCTACTACAGATGGCATTGTTAGTGTAGCTTTGTTCAGCCCAGTTTGTCTTGTGAAAGCTGAAGCTCTTTTGTCCGAACGTAATTGTATTCACCAATCTGCAAGCTTACAAGAATTAAATTTGAACCAGGGCCCCAAAATAAATGCAGCAGAACACCCAGTGCTCTGTCAACCCTTCATACCTCTGGCAGAATCTTTATCATTCTGCTTTGACATGTTCCCAGGTCCAGCTACTGGCAGTCTGTTCTACTCTGGAATGTTTTTCTTAGCAGATGTTTCATCTAATTTTCAGATGTTCATGTTTCACTTTGAAAAGGAAATAGGTATGTGCCAGTCTTGTTTCCTTCTTTTATCAATTCTGCTCTGACTCTGGTAATAGTGGAATGTAATCTGGGTTTGTTCAAAATTAGATTAATTTAATCTCCATCCATTTCCTCAGCATTCCTAACAAACATTTTTTTTTAGCCCTTTGTTCTGCATTTTGAAAATAACCCTGTGAGCCATGTGCAGTTCATTCACTACCTGCCTTAATTAAAAAAAAAACTGCAGTTTTTACATGCACAGCCAAACATTGCCATTTGTAGTCCATTCAGGGAACACATTACAAAGTTACTGTGAATTCTGAGAGGAAGTTAGCAGCCTGCTTGATGCTGATAGGCAAATATGCTTATCAATTACTATTTAAACTGGGGTTACAATGTGAAATTAACAGAATTATGGTCCTGGGTCTTCTACTGAATAACTTTTTCCCCTTTTTCCTTAATTCCATTTTATGCTATATCTGTGCATTTAAGCCTCAGAAGGACATGATTGCACTAAAACATCTGGCTAGATTATCATGCTGTTGTGAAAACCTTTGGCATGGTATTGATCAGACCACAAGTTTTTCCCTGAGTCCAAGATTCTTTATTCCTATTGTAGTTGGGTTGAGTATGCACTGAATGCAAGTTAAAGACAACTGTTGTTAGCAGCCTCTTATTACATGACTTCACCCTCATATACATACAATTGTCTTACGGAGAATTTTTATCCTTAGACAATTCTGAGCTTCCAAAATATCCCCAAAATACCTGAATCAGTGGGTCTCAGTCAAAAATGTTGCAGCAGTCAAGCAACATATTGAAGGCTGATTTGCAGCTTGTGTTAGTTGTGGGAGGTGGGTAGGAAGGGGGGGGACAGTTGGTTTAAGCAAGTATAGATCTGGCATCCTAAATGTCCAACAGTTTGCAAGAGCCATAGAGCATCCAGAATGCTATCTGTTCAGGCCCAAGATTCCACAGCTGTATAGCACTTATTCCTTCCTCAATCTGTCATGGTGGGGATGATACCATGTGTCACTGAAAAACCTGCTTGCCCAATACAATCAAACCATCTTTGCTGGGACATTTAGTACACAGCTATGCTTCTCCCTGATCTGTTAGACAATAAGCTGAGAAGGCTCATCCTTGATGTCCCAGCAAGGGAGTAAAGAGCTTCCTCTGGTCCTGTGGACTAATTCTAAGCCAAATGAATATATGTAAAACCACATATAACTATTAGCATTTATTTTTAAACCTGAATCTGTCCCTACATTTTTTTTTCTTGAGGAGTAAGGAGAGCAGAGAAAACCTGATAAGACAGATGCAAAAGACTAACTTGTTAATTTCCTCCTCTGGAGAAGGCACATTTTACAGAACTCTATAGCTACTCCCTCCTCTCCCTCAATGAGCTTGAAAATAAATGAACTATCTTTGCCCAAAGATTCCCAGCTGCACAAGGTGATATTCAAGTTGTGTCGATGATTGTGTGTCGATGTATATTCTATAAAAAGGTACTTGTCATTCCCGTTTGTAAACTACATTGACATTAATTAAATGAATATAAAAGCTTCCAAGTTGTGCTTCTAGTCTTCTACTTGTTAGTTTTATCCCTTGGTTTGGCAGTTTCAAAATCAGGTACTTCTGTTGCTTTTTTTTTTTTTTTTGGTGCCTTTGAGTCAGTGTTGACTCCTAGTGACTGCCTGG